CCGAAATCAAGAGTCAGGTACTTAACCTACTGAGCCACCCAGGTACCCCTTCTTATTTTAAATAAGAATTGTATTTACTAGTATAGAAATGCCTCCAGTCAACAGAAGTATATTGTGAAGTGGTGTTTACACAATATGACCCTGCTATATGTGTGTTTTAAATTAATAAGTTACAGATAGATCTCACAAACATAACATTGAACTAATCAAGAGAGACACACAAAGTATATACTAGATGAACTATAGTTATTTAAGGTTCAAGCACACACAAAATAAATCTTATGAATAAAGGTATTTTTTAATTCTCAGGAAGACTTTTTTCTTCTTTCACAGTATCCAAAAGACCTACAGATCTATACCGTAGGACTGTTAGTGTAAGAGCTCTGGGAGCAGCTTATAAGAACATTAAACTTGTCATTTTAAAAAATAAAGTGCTTAGAAGTCTCCTTCTCATATATGGTCATAGGCTAAGAATTTGGCACAGAACATACAGTCCCAGATATGGAGACAACCATGTTGAAACACAACAGCTGGAAGTCAGTCATGCTTCTCAAGAATCTGACATCACCTCCTTGAAATATCAAATATACCCAAAAACGCAGCAAGGCCATCTCAAAAACATTCAGGGCAATTAGTTATTGCCCTGAGATTCCCTAGAGAATCCCTATTGCCTAGAGATTCCCAGTCTGCAATGAGGCAGGTCTCTGAGAGTCCAGTGAGCCCCAGTATGAAGCCAAAGCAGCTCACCACACCGGATGGGCTAAAGCAATCTTCGGGGAGATCCATGCAATATTCACGAGGACACATGGGAGCACAGAGACCAGAGAGAGACGGGAAGGACACACATGGGTTTGTTACAAGCAGCTCTGACAGACCCTCCTCGGGCTTCCAGATAGTACCAAAATCAGCACAACTTACTCCATGGCTAACTGATCCTGCTGGCGACTATGAGCGTACGGTGCAGGGGAGAGGTGACAAGGGGAGCTTCGGCAAGCCCTAACTGCCTTCCTAAGAAACACGTGCCTGATATAGTCATAGCTCCGGAGCTCCTACGGGGATCTTACACAGGTCGTTTGGCTAAACACCACACCCAATGCAGAAATCCACTTTCTTGCTCTTCCTGCAATGGGCTGAAGAAGTGAAGTTACAGAGGGTGGGGGTATGAAGGCAAGCTCAATTGCCGGCTTCTCTGTACCAGCTCAACATGGCAGAAGTCACGAGGGCCCTGTGGGTGGGACTGGGAACATTCTAGAACAAGCCTCACATAACAGTGATCTGATGATCTTAGTTTTGTGGGATTTTGGTAACCAACTTTAATTAGGAAAATTCTGTATCAAATATTTCAGATTTTCGTATCTAGTTTCCTTAATAAATTCATCTTGAAGCAAAAATGTTTCATATTTCTAAATCAAAGATTTCTATTAAACAAAGCGGCGTGTTACACTGAAACTGGGACATTCGCACACACATTTATCACAAACCTACACAACCTGAGGCAAGTCCTGCTTCTTCTCTGGGCTTCGGTATTATAAGCAAAGTGAGGCATTTGGTGATTTCAAAAGATCCCATCCAGGCTCTAAAATGCTGTGGCTCTAAGGCACTCTTGTAATTTCTCCTAGAAATACTAACCAAAGGCAGTAAATAATTTTATTGCTTCCAATAATACACTCATAAGACTTAAAATTCTCATAGATTCAAGTTAAATTGTGTTCCAAGTATGCCAGTTCTGACCATGTCATTAAAATTTTCCTAGCAGTACACCATTCAAACCTCTACACTCCAACCTGTGTCTGCAGATTCACCTTCTTCCTTCCTATAAAAATGGAGGAAGTCTCCCTCTCTTAATCACAAGCCAGTTAATTCTTCCTGTGTATGAGCTTGGGGTGACATCTCCTTCCAGGAACTTCTGTCCACCACTGATCCCCTCTCTACTGTGTCTGTAACCTGTTCCTTGGGTCCAGATCATTTTAGTCAGAATATAAATACTCCAGATGTTGACATCTTTAAAAAAAGAAAATAAACAAAATCTTCTGGAGACCCAGCACTCCTCCAGCATCAGCCTGACCATCAGCCAGACCTCTGTACTCTCCTTCAACGTCCAACCTCTTCAAAGAAAGGTCACCTCCAACCCGTTCTTACCCACCTCGAGTCCATTCTGTACAAAGCAGTTGGAGTGATCTTCCCAAGCTACAAATCCAATACCACTCTCATTGTTCCTAACGAGAACACAGCCTGTCCTCATAGGCTCCATGTCATTTGTCCCTGCAGACCCCACATAGTTAACTAGCCTCACCTCCTACCACACACTGCACCTGGGGAAGGACACTGGTCTCTTCCTCAAACATGCCAACGCCTTCCCATCTCAGGGAGTCTGCCCCTTCCTCAGCCAGAAGGCTCCTTCTGCCCACCACCACTTCCTTTGAGCAGCCCAATTCCTATCCTTCAGGTCCACTTTAATCACAGCATCCTCATGAGAGCCTTTTGTTGTGAGTTAAACCATGCTGACCATGTATTTCGGCTGTTTCAATCAACTCACTTTGCTTGGTGGAAAGGGAGCATTTCTTGTTTTGAAAGTGTGCCATGTGCTTTCTCCAATGGGAAAGAAAGAAGTTGTTGACAAAAAGCACTTAGTCTGGCATTGCATATAACCTGCAATCTAATCTACAGAGCAGTCCTGTGCTAAGGTAACAGGTTTCTGATTTAACCAAAGCTGACTATGTGACTATGTACCATAAGCCTTAAAAATGTTTATACCCTTTAAACTAGTAATTCCACCTCTATGAATTTACCCTGTGAAAGTAAGATATATACACACAGCAAAAAATTTTAAAGGCATTCATGGCAGCAGTTATCTACAGAGTAAAAAAAAAAAAGAAAAAGAAAAAGAAAAAAAGTAAGTATCAAAAAACCTTTATTGCCACAAAAGAGCAGTTGTACCAAACCCAAAACTGGTACAGCAAGGGAACAGCAGCTAAACAAATGAGATATACGTTGAGTTGCATCGCATGGAAAAGCTGTCTTAACATGCTCTAAGTTCTGACACATCTGCCTTTGAAATTCATGACTAACCGAAGAGGGAACACACTGACCTTGAAACAAAGGGATCCAGAAGGAACCCCTTGAAGGTAAGAGGTATTAGAAGGCCCCCACAGGTATGTGAGGTCTCCTGGATTCATGGTGCTACAGGCCTGGGGGGCAGAAGTCCTGGGTCCTAACTCTAAAATCTGCTGGGAACCCACTGTGTGACCTGTAGGTAGTCACTTCATTTCCCTGGGTGTAAGTTTCCTATCTGTAACACAACAAAACCACAAAGAACACTTCCAATTTTACAATTATACTGTTGGGCACCTGGGTGGCTCAATCGGTTAAGTGCCCGACTCTTGATTTCAGCTCAGGTCAAGATCTCACAGTTTGTGAGTTCGAGCCCTGCATTGGGCTCTGCGTGCATGGGATTCTTGAAACATTCCCTCTCTCTCTGCCCCTTTCCTGTGTGCATGTGTGCTCTCTCTCTCTCAAAAATAAACATAAAAAAAAAGTATACTGTCAATCATCACCTCTCCACAACAGGCACCTGAGTAAAAAGACCAAAATTTAAATTGCACGTCTACCCTTCTTCGGGTTGGAAGCCCTTGAACTAGTGACCACCCTTCTCCGAGCCTCCTTCTCAGTTCCACGGGGCTCCTCCAGAGCACTGTGGAAACACCACCTGAGGCACACTGAGGGCTAACAGCTCTCCCCGTCTTCCCATTGCATCACTGGAAGCTGCCACGTCCAGCGACTTCTACAGCTGCTCAACAGACACGAGAAAAGGAAGAGCAAAGGGTTAGAGACTGCTGACCAACTTCATGCCTTAACCGAACTAACTGAAGTGTTCACAGAGTGAAATAGGAAAGCTTTAAATTTTCATCAGTGAAAAAAAGAGTTACCGTCTCGAGTGTTTGCTATCTACCAGGCGCTGCTAAGAAATTTAAATGCGTTGGGGTGCCTGGGTGGCTCAGCCGGTTAAGTGTCCGACTTCGGCTCAGGTCATGATCTCGCAGTTTGTGGGTTCGAGCCCCGCATCAGGCTCTGTGCTGACAGCTCAGAGCCTGGAGCCTGCTTCGGATTCTGTGTCTCCCTCTCTTTCTGCCCTTCCACTTTTCATGCTCTCTCTCTCTCGCTCGCTCTCTCTCAAAAATAAGTAAAAATTTTTAAAAATTTAAAAAAAAAGTTTAAATGCGTTATCTAATTTAATCCTTCCAATGATGCTAGGAGGTTAGTTAGTACTATTATTATGTTCTTACGGATGAGGAAACTGGGAAGTTAAATAACTTGCTGAGGTCACAAAGGCAAAGCTGGTGTTTTTAGCTTCTTGTTTAACTTGCTGAGGTCACAAAAGCAAAGCTGGTGTTTTTAGCTTCTTGTTTAAAACAAAGAACACATCAATCACTGTCATAAATTCAGGGGTTCTAGAATTACATACAGCATACACCTTACATGTTGTGTTTCTTGCCTATTAGTAAACAGAAACTACTGCACATTTCCTTCCTTTTCCTAGATCTGAACCTGGTAATTTCAGAGGCACAGAAATTCTGAAATGACATCCTGTTTTGTTTGAGTTTTTCAAGACACCTAAAAAAGCAGGATCTTATATACATCTACACACCATCCTTAAAGCAAAAATTAAGAACCAGGGGGAAAAAACTTTCCAAGTCCACTTCTGAGCTTGCTTTGTCAAGTAATAGTTACAAATAATAAATTCAACATTCTTTTGGCTAAACTGGTAGATAAAACTTCAACTAACCATTGCAAACTTATGTTCATACTATATAGCCAATTACTAATTTGCTGCATTTTCACACATAAACCCAACAATTAGAAAAGTTGACGAATTTCTCTATTCTCTATAAATGAGCGGTCCCTCTAGAACAGATGCCAAGCCTATCTGTGTGCATTTCAACCATTCATCAGTAACTAGTCTCAGTTCAACACAATGACCTCGGAAAGGTCTATGGACTCACCAATACTCTGTCTCCAATTTTGAGCTCTCTTTCTCCTTTCTTGATTGAACCGGCCTCTGAGAGGTTGGAGATAGATTCACTGGCAGTTTTTGTAAGGTTGCTGATCTGAGACGTAGCTGAAGGTTCCTTTGCTGTTGGCTGGGACGATTTATGGGGGATATTTGAAGGGACTGCTGGGGACGAGGTCATCATGCCGGCCGTTGAGGTGGACAGAGGCGAAGTCGCTCTGGAAGCAGGAGTCGTCTGCAGGCCGTTAGCTTCATCTTCTGCCTGCACCTTCCTTGTCAACTTCGAAGGGCGGGTGAATATGCCCTTTAGAGGCTCACACTGGAAGTACCGAACTCCTGCCACTGAACCGTCATTTTTGCCTATGGGTTCATCTAAAACAATCCCGGCCCACTGGCCCGGTGCGAACTGGGTTTCTCCCAGAAACTGGATGAATCCAGGTTTATTCCCATTCACCCAAACTCTCTCCCCGACTCGAAAGTCATCCACAAATTCCTCTTGTGCCTCAGAGGATGGCGCACTTGATGCTTTTTCACTGGATGTTGTCACTGGAGCTACAACTGCAAACAGAAGAAAGGATCAGAGAAGATTCACTTTCATATTCGAGCAGACCACTCCTTTCTACCTTAAAGGAAAATAAGCTGGAGAAAGCCCAAAGCAACAGGAGTCACAGCATTTCTAAGGTGAGTGGTCCTTTTTTTTTTTTTTTTTTTTTTTTTTAACAAGGAGGCAAAGAGTACTTAACCCATTAGAGCACGTGGCTGGCTGAGTGAAGCGTACGACTCTTGATCTCGGGGTTGTGAGGTCGCGCTCCACATTGGGTATAGAGATTACTTAAATCAATTAAACAACAACAAAAAAAGATAAAAGTACTTGACCCACCACTACCATTTTCAATGCTGTCGAAACTCAGTGAGCTGGTAGGATTAATCCTTACCGGCAATTATGACTGGAAAAAGTCCAAGGCAGGGGGGGGGGGGAGTCCCTTTCCCATAGATCATATTACAGGTTTGATTTCATCTTTTCCTTTCCCCTCCTCCCTGCACATCAGGAGCAAACACCCATTCAGATCCCCGGAGACGGGCGCTATTCCCACGAGGGCACAGTCAGGGAAGGCTGACAAGTCCAGGACCTCGGAAGCAGAGATTCACAGTCATGCCTGAAGAAGGAGGGGACTCGAAGCTGCAGCCCTGCCACCTCACTCCAAGACACCAGATAAACCCCATTCCTTTGCTGGCAGAGATGTGGAAATCACAAGGGAAAAAAAAGGTAGCACTTGGCCAAACTTGCTGCTAAGGCAAGATGACTTTATGTAATCTCTACCCTGTGGCAAAAACAGAAGTTAAATTTTGCCAGAAATGTGATATTTACACTGGAAATTCCAGCATTCATCCAGCAAGTGCTCATTAAATATTTGGTATGAACTGGCCAAGTCCACAATCTTAACCACTCTATCATTTTTTTTTTTTTTTGGTTATTTTGAGAGAGACAGAGACAGCAGGCGCAGGGAAGGGGCAGAGAGAGGAAGACAGAGAATCCCAAGAGGGCTCCACACTGTCAGCACAGAGCCCAACATGGGGCTGGAACTCATAAAGCCACGAGATCATGACCTGAGCAGAAACCAAGAGTCAGACGCTTAACTGAATGAGCCACCAGGTGCCCCTTAAGCACACTACCATTTACTAGGCATATTGCAGTCTTAGGATGTTACATGACCTCTGAGTTCAATTTCTTCATCTGTAAGAGTAAAGTAGTATCTAAAGAGTTTTCGGGGCGCCTGAGTGGCTCAGTCGGTTAGGCATCCGACTTCGGCTCAGGTCATGATCTCACGATTTATGAGTTCAGGCCCTGCGTCGGGCTCTGTGCTGAGGGCACAGAGCCTGGAGCCTGCTTCAGATTCTGCCTCCTTCTCTCTCTGCCCCTCCCCACTTGTGCTCCGTCTCTCTGTCTCTCAAAAATAAATAAATGTAAAGAGTTTTACGGGTGCCTGCGTGGCTCAATTAAGTGTCCAACTCTTGATTTCAGCTCAGGTCATGATCTCACGGTTCATGGGATCCAACCCCGTCTCAGGTTCTGTGACAGTGTGGAAACGGCTTGGGATTCTGTCTCTCTCTACCCCCTCTCCCGCTCACATGCACACGCTGGCTCTCTCTCAAAATAAATATGCTTTAAAAAAGTAATAAAATAAGGGATACCCGGGTGGCTCAGTCGGTTAGGCGTCCACTTTTGGCTCAGGTCATGGTCTTGCAGTTCGTGAGTCCAAGCCCCACATTGGGCTCTGCACTGACCTTGCGGAGCCTACTTGGGATTCTTTTTCTCTGCCCTTCCCCCCACCCAAAATAAATAAACTTCAAAAAAATAAAAATAAAGATTAAATGAAATAATGTATTTATTCATGCTCCTCTTTTCTTTGAGTTTCTACCACTCCAGCACCTAGTCACAGGCACTGTTCTTCACGAGGGGACAAAGCACGACAGCACAGCCCATGCCATTACAGAGCCCAGAGTAGAGACGTGGGGTCAGTCAAAAGACACACCAGGTGATTTCAGGTGATAGAAGTGCGGTGGAGGAGACAGTGGCTTTAGGCAGAGCAGTCAGGAAAGGCCTCCTGGAGGAAGTAACATCTGGCCTGAGGCCTGATCAACAGAAAGAGTGAACCATGCACAGATCAAAGAACAGAATTGTCTGGACGGCCTAAGGAGGAGGAACATCCCTTTACCCTACACAGGAGACTGTGGAGTTTTGATTTATGAAGGGTTTGTGTTGTTGTTGTTTTTAGAAGATGGTAGACACTCTCAGATCAAACAGATAATCATCTGCCAAAGACAGGCCAGCCCAGTTTTTTAGAATCTATTCCAGCTTTGTACATGAACAATTCTTCCTGACAGAGTGCTGAAACCATGAGTTTCTGAAAAACAATCCTCATAAAAGTGCTCAAACTGGTAATTATTTCCTTTTAAGCATATTAAATTTTAATGTTTATAGGCTGCTTGACTCTAAAAAAAAAAAAAAAAAAAAAAAAAAAAAAAAAAAAAAAAAAAACAACAACAAACCAACTAGTGTGTGCCGAATACTGTTGAGGAAACCAAGTGAATTTCTCCTGATCTCCTGCACCCAAGGACTTTATATGCTAAAGGGTGTGCATAAAAAATGCTAAAAATGGGGCGCCTGGGTGGCTCAGTCGGTTAAGCGGCCGACTTCACCTCAGGTCGTGATCTCACGGTCCGTGAGTTCGAGCCCCGTGTCGGGCTCTGTGCTAACAGCTCAGAGCCTGGAGCCTATTTCAGATTCTGTGTCTCCCTCTCTCTGACCCTCCCCTGTTCATGCTCTGTCTCTCTCTGTCCCAAAAATAAATAAATTAAAAAAAAAATGCTAAAAGTGAAAAAGACAATTCTAAAACAGGGGTGAGAGGGCACCTGGGTGGCTCAGTCAGTTAAACATTTGACTTCAGCTCAGACCATGATCTCATCGTTCATGAGTTTGAGCCCCAAGTCGGGCTCTGTGCTGACAGCTCAGAGCCTGGAGGCTGCTTCGGATTCTGTGTCTCCCTCTCAATCTGCCCCTCCCCCACTCATGCTCTGTCTCGGTCTCAAAAATAAATAAACATTAAAAGAATTTTTTTTTTTAATTTGTCTAAAACAAGGGTGAGTATAACTGTGGAAGGGCTCAAGGAAGGGGCAGCATTTGAAGGGGTCCTAAAGAGAGAAAGGATTTTGAGGGGAAGGAGAATAAGAGATGCCAAAGCAAAGCTTGCCTCTCATCTAAGATGTTTTATGGCTTCTCTGATAAAAACACAGGAAAACATGGGTTTATCCTCATTACACAAAATGTAAATAATTTGGGACCTTTATTCAGTCAACAAATATTTAATGAGCTCCTGTTATGAGCTAGGCAATGTTCCACGTATGTGGGTGGATTTGGGTAGTGGGGAAAAAAAAAACCACCACAAAGATCCCTGCCCTCATGAAAGATCAATGAGGTTTTATGGAAAAACTTAAAGAAACAAGGTTGGACTAATATTTTACAGTGTACATCTGTCTGGGATGGCTGATAACCTATCTAATAGTGTATAAATCACATTAAAAGACCATAAAAGCAAGCATCAGATACCCTCTCCTGTCTCTCTTATTAAAGACCTTAGGTGGCCATTATGGGATATAAATTGAAATGGTGGAGGAGGAGATGGAGAACAGAGGAGGAAGAGGCTGAAGATGGGCAAGGGCACGGGTTCATCTATGAAATGGGGATGATTTCCCGCATAAGCCAGATTTGGGCCACTGTACTGCCTGCTCCCTTGAAACCAATGGCCAACTTCAGATCGGTTAGTGTCATCAAATCTCTTAAACCAGACTCGTCTTTGTTTTCTCCACACAACCCTAAACCCCAAGGAGAAAGGCCCAGATGAGTTCAAAATGACACAGGGAGAAAAACAAAGTAGTGTATCTTAACACTTAACACTTAACAAATTAAGTTTATTTTCTTCTTAATTTATTCATTTTGAGCAAGAGAGAGAGCAAACAGGGGAGGGGCACAGAGAGAGGGAGAGAGAGAATCCCAAGCAGACTCCGTGCTGCCAGCACAGAGCCTGATGTGGGGCTTGAACTCACGAACCACAAGATCATGACCTGAGCCAAAACCAACAGTCACTTAACCAACTGAGCCACCCAAGTACCCCTAAA